GCAAGTAATACCCTCCCCCCTTCTCACGTCATCTCTCTTCTTTGCTCTCAAGTCACACATGCTCCCCCCCCCGCCCCCCTGATTATTTTCCCCGACGTACGTATGTGTATGTACGAACGGCACACTTTCATCGCGATCATCGATATCTAATCTTATTTCTCCCTCCAATCACTTACACACACCGACTCGATTTCTTTTTTTTTACCAAGGAAAAAATTAAACTCCATAACGAAATAAAAAGCCCCACATTTCTCTTTCTCTCTCCTACCCGTTTCCTCTCCCCCAATTCCCTACCGTTCCTCTCGCCCGGTTCCCGTACAAACCGTAACTCCCTTCACCAATACACCCACGCCCATCACCTTGTCCTACAAAACCATGAGAACCCCACTAATCATTACATCCACATCTCCTGGTAGTGGTGTTCAGGGACGATCCGGAAGCTTTGTCCTCGTATATGGTGATTGCAGGTATCATGGGGGTATGAGTGCGTGTTTGTTCGTGTCAGCGTGTAGGGGGGAATGGGATATGGTAAGAGAGAGAGAGAGAAAAAGTAGTTGATAAGCTTGGAATAAGCTTTAGGATACGGGGCTTATTCCCGGGAACGGGAATAGGAGGGGAGCTTGGTTGGTTTACGCAATGTCTAACGCGGAAGGGGAGGAGGAGAGAGGGTTGGAAGGTGGGAATATGAATGTAGAGGATCTTGGTAAACTGCATGTTGTATACACGGGGCTTGGGAATAGTGGGGGAAAAAAATTGCTTGTGGTAAGTATCAATTTTACGTATATCGTGTATTTAGGTTAATGAAGACGTCCAAAAAAAATATATGTACTTGTACTCTCATCATGCCCTTCTGCCCTGCATACTCCCTCTTCCTCTCTCTCTCCCTTTTCCCCCCTTCCGGAAAAGAAAAAGAATGACAAATAAGAAAACAAAGTAAAAATAATCCAGTCACTCTATTCTACCAACCATTCCTTATATCCGTAAACCCTTCCCTTACAAAACCGTGCGCAAAACCCGTCCCTTCCCCCCCTCCCATTCCCTCACACACACCCTTTTAAAAAAAAAGATCGACACCTCCATCACCACTCACTGTGCCGTATACCCGAATTAGTCTCACCCTTAGTTTGCCACTTTCACCTACGCTTACCTTCTTCAACCTAAACTAACGGGTTACTTTCGGACTTAAGATCGTCAGAGTGACGATATGCGTATTTATGAGGAAGAGGGAAAGGGATGAGGGATGAAGGGGGGGTTGATGATGAATCTGGATATGCACGAGGATGGTTTGTATCTGGGAAAGATAGGAAGGGGGGGAGCAGGAGAGTTATTTACTGAAGAGATGAATGGGTATGTTGGATGTGTAAGGGGTCGTTGGTTTAGATGTCTGGGAGGAATGGGGGATGCGATGATTTACTTTTACTTTTTTTCTTCTTCTACTACGGTTAGACACATCTTCGTTAGTCGCAAGACGGAATATTGTAGTGAGATTATTCATCCATACCGGTGAAAGAAACACAATCTTTTTTTTTCCTTTCTCAAAAAATGTATAAAGGATGCATACACAGATACGACGACATAGATGCTCACAAACCCCCCGTCCTCCCCACCGTCTTCATATTCGGGAGAGAGTGAACCTTCGTTTCTACAAAGACTATTGCGTAGTTGGGTTGCATGCATGACGGTTCAAAGTTATATCGAATGTGCTGAATGCAACTGGCTTACGTATTTCTATGACTATTCCCACTTCGTAAGCAAGTTGACGTGACATCTTTGCTAATGTGACAGTGAATAGTACGGACTACCCGAAGAAGTGTTTACCTGAAGAAAGATACAAGGAAGAGGAAAGGAAAAGGTGGGATAGAGAAGATGTGAGAGAGTATAACACTGTAATTAGCTAGCTAAAAAAAATAATGTCTGTCTTAGGAATCAAACAACGAATCAACGTTCTTCGTATCGCGTTTTCCATGTACAGAGTAGCTTACACATCAGGCCTCTCTTTCTTGTTGTAGGAGAGATGATTGAATTTTGACTTGGAAGTTCCATCTCTCACTACTACGTACATACACATCGCGTAACCAGTTGAATGATCCAGCTCACCGCCTAGCAAACACCCACAAGCCTTCCATTTTTTACCTTCCTCAGCTGCTACAAACACCCCATATCACATCCACATTCCCTGACATAGCGAACGAAATAAAACTTCAAAGACACTCATAACCACAACCATAATCACTCACAAAAGACGAATATTAAAATCTTCTTTGTCAAATTCGACATAAGTGTACACAAAATACAGGTCTCGCATGCTGTTGGGAGAAAAACGCTCACAGCTGCCAACTCTATAACTCTACACCGACACACACCCGACTTTCTCCTCTTACTTACACACATGCTTATGAAAGCATCCTGCTCATGTCGTTCCTGATACGGTTGTAGTCCAAAAGACCCTCAATCTGTCCAACGGCAGAAATGGCAACGTCCTTGTCCCATAGCCTGTTGCGGGCGAATTGCATCACATCCTTCTCTGTAATGCGACCAACAACGCGCTCAACCTCCTCGGGTGATAACCGGCGGCCGGTAGTAACAATCTGGCGACCAATGTCCTCGGCAACGGCAGTGGTACCGTCAAGAGCAAGAAGGATGGAGGCCTTGAGCTGGGCCTTGGCGCGCTCAACCTCGGCGGAGCTGACGTTCATGGAAAGGCGAGTCCACTCGCGGAGGGTGAAGTGGACAAGGTCGTCAAGCTGGGTCAGGTTGGAGCTGTTGAGGTAGATACCCCAGAGACTATGACGTATTAGCATTATTCTTCCAAAAACACTCGTTCAACAACATACCCAGTGTCAGAGTAGCTGGTGGAGAAGCTCATGAAGCTGTTGGCCAAACCGTGCTGGGAGACAAAGTTGCTGAGCTTGCTACCAAGGTAGTCAGAGGTACCCATGGCGCGGTCCCAGTTACCAACAATAGCCTGTGTGACGAGCGCAGTGAAGTAGTCGGGGTCGCTCCAGCTCACACCCTCAACGGCAATGGCAATGTTGGCGGTACCCATGGTGTCATCACGGAGACGAACCTCGGAGCCAACAAAGTCGGGCTTTTGCTTCTGCTCAGCGGCAAGAGACTTGGCAGAGTAGTCCTGGGGCTCGGAGGGCAGGTTGGCAAAGTACTTCTCAGCAAGGTCGACGAGCTGCTCGTGGGGAATGCCACCAGCACCGACAAGGACCATGCGGTCAGCAGTGTAGTTGGTCTTGATGTAGTTCTCGAGATCGGCGCGCTGGATGCTCTGGATATTCTCCTTGGGTCCGAGGATGGTGCGGCCGAGGGGCTGACCCTGGAAAGCGGTGGCGTGAAGGTGGTCGAAAACAACCTCCTCGAGCTGCTTGTCCACCTCTTCCTGCTCACGGAGAATGACATCGCGCTCGCGCTCAATGGCGGCGGGCTCGAGCTTGGAGTTTTGGAGGATATCAGAGAGAATGTCGACGGCGGCGGGGACATCGTTGTTGAAAGCCTTGGCGTAGTAGACGGTGTTTTCGCGCTGTCACGTCATCAATATGCGGCGTCCAGATGCGTTCCCCATCAGGCGCAACGTACCGAGGTGTAGGCGTTCAGGTGTCCGCCCATGTTCTCAATCTCGAGTTCCAATTGCTGCTGCGTGCGCTTCTGGGTGCCCTGTTTGTCTCTACATCAGCGTCCTGTCGCCCCGCACTGCCATTGGCGGCCTGCCGCGCATCCGTGTATCCGTACCTTGAAAGCAAGATGCTCCAAGAAGTGTGCAGTTCCATTGGTCTTGTCCGTCTCTGCGCGGCTTCCTGCGTCGATCCACACACCGACGGTGGAGGTCTGGGCCCACGGGGAGTGCTCGGTAGCAATCTGCACACTGGGGTCAATTGCAGTCCTGCGAGTAGGTAGCGTTTGTGGCATACCGTGAAGCCGTTCTTGAGCGTGGTCGACTCGGTCTTTGCGCCGTAGGAAATGGGCGTGGCCAGGCCTCGTGTCAAAGGCGACTGTCTCGATGACTTGACGGCGTTGATGGCGGAGCGAGAGCGCATGCTCTGCTGCAGGTTGAGTGCGAGCCGCCGGGAAGCCATTGCGTCTGCTCGCTGTGCAGGGAAGGAATGGAGATGGGGCGGTGATGGGGGGTTGGAGTTGAGATTCGTCGAAGCTGCAACTTCTTGGCCCTAGGTGAGGTTGATTGACGTTCGAAATCTGCTGTCACGGGACTTCCCGATTCCCGCCGCTGGCCAATGAGCGCCGCAGGGACGTCAGCATCGCTCATCCGAGGCATTGTCGTCAACATCTGTTCGACCGTCCCGAGATATCGTCTTGCGACCTCCCACTCCCACTGCACCTGTTCCCTGCCAGCTGCCCCTCTCCAACCACTGCAATGGCTTCCTTTATGCGCCCCGGCCTTCTCAGGCAAGCTTACACCAAGCCCCAAGCAGCGCACCGCATGCTGTCCACGGCCAGCTCCACCATCAACCGCCCGCTCGCCCACCAACTTCGCCCAGCTTTCCAGCGCTCAGTCATTCCCCAGTCCACGCGCGTCGCCGCCTTCCACGCCACCCAGCGCAACCAGATTCTGCCCCCGCTGCCACAGAAGATTGTCGGAACCACCAACGACCCTGTGCCTGTACCCGAGCCAGACTATGCCCATGGCAGCTACCACTGGAGTTTCGAGAGGTATGCTTGACGAGCTGCAAGAGGATGATTGCAACTCTTGCATCATATGATGTGGCACCACAAACTGACATTGGCATAGGATCGTCTCCGCCGGTCTGATTCCTTTGACCATTGCGCCTTTTGCTGCTGGATCGCTAAACCCACTTACTGACTCTATTCTCTGCGCTCTCTTGGTCATACACTCGCACATTGGCTTCGAGTATGTATAAGTCTAGTCCCACCAGAATAAATCGACGGCTAACGTGTTCAGGGCATCCATCATCGACTACTTCCCTAAGAAGCGAGTGCCCCTCCTTCGCAACCTCTCCATGTGGGCTCTCCGCATTGGAACCGTCACTCTTGGTATCGCTCTCTACTCCTTCGAGACCAACGATGTTGGCATCACCGAGGCTGTGGCCAGGCTGTGGCATGCGTAGAGTAGATGGGGAACTACATGCATGTGAAAAGAAAGTGGGGTAAGGAACTATGTACATCTAAATACAAACCAAGGGCGTGGTTTTTTCTTGTTCAGAAATATGAGCATTGCTGTTTCATATACATGATTGAAACTTGGAGCTTGTGACTGTGTTCTTCCACTTGCCACTCGATGCATCTCTCAGCCTAGCCTGTTCAACCACCTGTTTGCAGACACGCACTAATTCGACTAAGCAACATGCCACATCCTCAGTACTATCACTTACTATTTCCAACCCCCCGCGCTTAGCAACCTCTGCCTATCTCATTCCACATCATTACACTATCCTACAAGTCAGTACTTCACTTTGCAATAGACAACACGTCATGCCTGGTCATGTGTCAATGAACAATCTCTGAAAAGAAGCAAATAGTCTTGAATTATAAGCCTTCTGAGGGGATTTGTGGGGAACCGCAGAACCAGAATGAGCATCTACTATACTCTCTGACCATGCCAAAAATGAACGTTGACGTCAACATCTAAGTCTTAGACCGGGGCAACCATGAACCTTGAGGAACATACAAGACGTGACCGTATATGACGCATACTGGTGGGAGTGGACAGGACAATGGAAAGAGCCTTGGGTGCATGAAGTATGGACAGGATGGAAATTCAGAGTCTAACAAAGCGCGCCCGGCCTGGAGCACGCTAGGATATACCCTTGATGCCACCAGAAAATGATGACTAGAACATCATTGACTCTTACCGTGATACACCGCACCATTAACCCCTGCCGTTTTTGCGTCTGATATCATGTTTTCGACTTTATGCCTTGGCTTCAGCGGGAGCCTCGCTGCTCTCAGCCTTGGGCGCATCGGTAGCAGGCTCGGCGGCGGGGGCGTCACCAGAGGGCTCGGCCTCGGACGATGTCCAGAGGGTCTAGAATTGATTAGCATTTGAATTGCAACAAAAGTCCACGTCAGGGGCTTACCAGGTTGTCCCTGAGGAGCTGCATGATGAGGGTAGAGTCCTTGTAGCTCTCCTCAGACAGGGTGTCGAGCTCTGTATTGACGTTAGCTTTTGTCTATGAAATTTGCATCCTACACGTACCAGCAATGGCATCGTCGAAAGCCTGCTTGGCCAATTGGCAAGCCTGGTCGGGCGAGTTGAGGATCTCGTAGTAGAAAACGGAGAAGTTGAGGGCAAGTCCGAGGCGAATGGGGTGAGTAGGGGCCAGGCTGGAGGCGGCAACCTCGGTGGCGGCCTTGTAAGCCTCAAGCGACTTGTCGGCAGAGGTCTTGCGCTTGTCACCAACAGCGAACTCGGCAAGGTAGCGGTGGTAGTCACCCTTCCTGTAAGATCACAACGTGGTTAGCAAATGCCCTCAAACATGGCACATATTGAACCCCTTACATCTTGTGGTAGAAGACCTTGGACTCGCCGCTCTCAGCAGAGGGGATCAAGTGGCCATCAAGGCACTCGAGAATGTCCTCGCAGATCTTGGCCAACTCGGCCTCGATCTTCTGGCGGTACTCCTTGATAAGACCAACCTGGGCCTCGTTGCCCTTGGACTCCTCCTTCTGCTCAATGGAGGTGACGATTCTCCAGGACGCGCGGCGAGCACCGATGACGTTCTTGTAGGCAACAGAAAGGAGATTTCGCTCCTCGACGGAGAGTTCCTGGTCTGCGGAGGCAACGGCCTTCATGTTCTCGACCATCTCTGCGCCATCCTGTCAGTTCGTGGAGTTTGGGCTTGTGGGACAAGTGCTTACCCTCATAGCGCTCGGCCTGCTCGGCCAGCTTGGCTAGGTATACGGAGTCTTCGTAACCCATTGTGAAGTCTGCGTGCACGACTGTTAGCTGACGTGGACTGGTGTAGAGCGCGGATAGAGCGCAATCGGCTGCTATCGCAGTTGTTGAGCGGTAAGATGCTCAGTGTGCGCTATTGCCGTGGTGAAGGGAAAATCGCCCTGATGCTGTCGCTGTTGGGTGCTTGGTGTGCTGTGGTAAAGGGTCCGGAGAATGCGGCAAGTGGAGCTGCGTGCAATTGCTTGCGTAGCCTTTGCACCTAACAGCGGTGGGCGCAAAGAGGGGCGGCTCAAGCTCTCACTCACGGCCCCCCGAAGAGAGCGCCGAAGCACACCGCCGCGACAATGACCATGGCGAGTGTGGGTGCGGGCGGTTTGGGCGAGTGGGAGTCATCAGGGGCACAGGTGGCGATGTCGTTGTTGTCGATGTTGCAGCAAAGGGCGCAAATTGCAGCCGTCTACGGCTTTTGGGGGGGTGCGTGACGAAATGCGGTGACTGACTTACGAAGAGAAAAGTAGATGTGGAGAGGGGGTGGGTTTGCAGAAGCGTGGGTTGCAGAAGACGGCGAAGTGGTGAGGACAAGAAAACGAGGTGAAGGAGTTGTGGTCAAGGGCGGCTTGGGGTTGAGTTATCAGAGGAGGGGAGTTTGGAGGGTGAGAGAACCCGACTGGGCTTGGCGTCGATCACGCCTGCCCGTCCTTGGTCGTTTCACACGGCCCAGAACAAGCGCGACCTTTGCCTCTTGACAGGCGAACAGAGCCAGTCACCGCCAGAAGGGCCATTGTCTGCCTAGCCTCTGCCTGTGTCTGCTCCTTGGGCCCGATGAGGCTGAGGCCTCCCTCGCACTGCATTCCAGGCGCCTATCCATGTACACATGTACTATGCGAGTGGTAGTGTACATACACATGGACATACAGACGCTGGCTGCCCCACCGGACACGCCTTGGATGACAGCTACTAAGTACAAGGACTCGACTTTGCCGCCAGGCCTTGGGCATCGCCCTTTGTTGCCTCGACGAGCCATGCATAGGCTCTCTGGGAGCCCGTTGAACGCCATGCCTACCGTGGCCCAACCGCGTGTCCATTACTTGTTTTGGACTGTCGAGCTGAGTCCATGCCCGTGTGGTTGCTGTGCATGCAGCCGCACCCATCTCGCTCCCCCCCCATGGCACTTGTTTTTTGGCCGTAGATCCAGGACTCGCGCAGAAAATGCAATACCAGAATGCTGTCAAACCCAAATCACAACACCATTGCATGTGCAGCCAGCAGTCACTTTAAGTCTTCACTGCGGCCTCATCAGGCGTGCCCAGTTTGCATGGCATCAGGGTCCAAGTGGGCATCTGGCCTGCCTTGAGCCACCTTGATCGCGTCACGTGACTTTGTCAACCAATGACGCAACGTCCAAGCTCCTAGGCATCGGTTGTGATCACTCCACCTCAACACTCAATTGCATAAGACCACACCAAGACCTTCCAATCCCTCAATCCCCTGCTCTTCGCATAACACTTACACAATGCTTCGTACATCCATCATCAAGAGCGCGCGCTCAATCGCCGCCCCCCGCTACTTCTCCGCATCCGCTCTGCGCTTGACTGAGGGAGCTACCGGCTCTGGCACGTCGAGACCTACAGGAACTGCTGGCGGGTAAGCAGACTTGCCAGCCTCAACTACCACCAATTGAGTACATACTAACTGTATCGATAGTGACGCCTTCACCAAGCGTGAGGCTGCTGCCGAAGAGCTCTACATTCGTCAGGAAGAGAAGGCCAAGTACGCCCACCTCAGTACCCTGGACGGTATTTTGCGCGCATCGCATCATATACAGGGTACCTGTAAATATCCTGGAACGCACTGCTGACGGTACACAGGCTTCTGGGAATCAAGGCGAAGCTCAGGCAGCAGAGGGAGCACATGGATGAGCTGGACAAGCACATGTCAGTGATACCAATGACTCTCAGTTACGAGTACAACCAGACTAACCGTGATATAGCGACCAAGTCATCAAGGAAGCCGAGGCTTCCGGCCAAGGCGAGCAGAAGTAAATCCATATCCGACGTTACCAAAACACATTTCGCTGGGACAACCCATGCGTTTTGATGACCCTATGACGAAATAAAATAAACACCTTTTTTTGAGCTTCTAGTTTCGCAGTCAGCTTTTCCTTGCTTATCGTCTTCAATTTGCATTCTCAGCTTTTCCTCTCTTTGCAACTCAAAAAAAAGGGCAGTAAATGTCTACTACATGAGCCGGGGTCCTCCTCCGAACACGTATATGAGGTGGCAGGACGGAAAGATACTCAAGGCAGACTGACGTCGGCTCACTATATGGACGACAAAATCATGCTTACTGGCCAGGTCTATCTTTACAAAGTTTCTGTTATGCGTTCTGCACTCTCGGCGATATCGGAATCAAGTTTGATCGAGCATATCGGCACAATGCCTGGTGGCTGGCGGGCGTGCGTCATGCGGAGAGAGATCAAACCCCTGGCATTTCACTACATAAGCTTATCAGGGTCCCCTAGATTTGCTTCCGGACAAAGCAAATCTCCACATTCCGTACTTGACCGCTAGTCATTTCGCTGCAATACTGTGCTTGCTCGACGGTTGACGACGAATCATTGGCTCATTCTCACCCAATTCTTGAGTCACTAGACTTCTACCTGTATCTCAGTCTAATACATGCCCTGCTTTTCACCAGCGGCTCTTCGGCTTCAACATGGTCCGTCGTTTTTCAACATTCAGCCACCATGGCAGCTTTTCAAGGCTGAAAGTACACGCGTCTACAGGCTCGTCATTATCGGCCCATCTCGGCGCGCCTCTGGTGGCAAGATGCTGGTAGTTTTGCTTTTGTGCCTATGTAAAAACAGGGCGGGCTTGCCAAGAACTCGTACAACAGGGGTGTTCCATTACACGCACACAGAACTTGAACGTTGTTACTGCCAACTGTAAAGACCCTGGTTCGCACTACAGCCGCACGCAACTACCCATGCCTCGTAAAGATCTTCCGGTACCACAATTTGCCCGACCCGACCAACCTTGCGAATGTCTTGGCTATCTTACAGCAGATCTCATCCCGCGTCTGTCACGTGATCGACTAGGTAATGCATGCTCATCTTACAGCATTACCCATGCTACCACAGTGCTTCTTCGGATTCTTCCCGTTTCAAGATCAGCCAAGGACGTCATTCGCATCATCGGTTTGAACTCGATATAGAAACCCTGGATCTTGTGCCCACCTGTTGCTTCCATCGACGAATAAGACTTGGTGAGGGGGGCTGGGTCATCACCGAGAGGACTTTCAAGGGACGGTATCGGACGTATTCTGGCGGTGAAAAGCCACTGGCAGGGTCTCCCTCAATGCCTTGGCCATTAGCATATATGATCTTCGGTGTTCCCTCAGGAAGAACGACCATATGCTCTGTTCAACGTTCCAATTCCAACGTACCTACAGGGATCCTGCATCTCTGAACAAAACTCCTTCATCGATTTACTTGCCGAGGTTGTGCACATACTACAAATCTCCAAGTTCCACCCAAAACCATCAACAAGCCGAATCAATTCATGTCGCGATCGAGCAGTACCTTCCGTCGTTTCTATACGGGGCAAACCCCTGATAGATCGATAGCGGATTCTCCTGCACCGCTGAATCTCACTCCATCCAGTGAATCCAGACAGGAGTTTTTACGTACTCCTGTACAAGCATATACAGGACGTCTCGACCCTCACGTAGAAAGCGAACCACCAAGTGTGCCCCCGCTCGCGCCCACACGTCCTAGAAGGGCATCTCAGCCTGTACCTTTCCATCCCTCCAATCACCCAGTACCCTCTGTGGAGGAATACCCAGAAGAAGGCCAGGCACCCCAGGCAGATCCATTTCGTACCAACAGACAACATGCACGCCCTCCAGCTTCGTACAGCAACTTCCCCGAGCAGAGTGCACGGTATGGAGTAATGCCTAGGAATAACTGGGATGCCAATGCGTATCCTGCCCATGCAGACAGTCATGGTAGGCCAAACTACGAGATGTACTACCCCTACTATCAGGAGGCATATGGACGATATTCTAGTGGACAGGGTACCGGTGGGGGTAGAGGGCCTCCACCCCCGATACCAAGTGCAGAGGTGGCAATGAGATTACCTTGGATGATTTGGATGGGAAGTAATGCAAAGAACCGTAAGTGCATCATAATGGTCTGTTGCGAACAACAAATAGCCTTGTTACTAACTCTCGTATGACAGACTTTGTAGCTTTTGTGGGAGAGTTCGTCGGCACCACAATGTTTTTGTTTTTTGCCTTTTCAGGCACTCAAGTCGCCAATATCAGATCTGCTGCTGCACCCCAAGACAACACCACGACAGGTGAAGCTGCTGGTTTCTCACCTATTGTTCTTTTGTACATTGCCCTAGTTTTCGCGTTCTCCCTCATGGTCAACGTCTGGGTCTTTTTCCGAATCTCTGGTGGCTTGTTCAACCCGGCTGTCACGTTTGCTATGCTGCTGTGTCGCGCACTGAGCCCCATCCGAGCTTTCTTGTTATTTTCAGCACAAATGGTCGGAAGTATATTTGCAAGTTACTTGGTCAGTGTGTTGTTTCCAACAAACTTTAATGTCAGGACGACTTTGGGTCAGGGAACGAGTCTGGCACAGGGAACGATGATTGAGGCTGTTTTGACAGCAGAATTGGTCTTTACCATTTTTATGCTAGCAAAGGAGAAACACAAGGGTACGTTGATTGTTGTACTTCTCCCACTTTACGCCACAACCACTAACACTTTTCTACACAGCAACCTTCATTGCGCCCGTGGGAATTGGTCTAGCTCTCTTCATTGGCGAGCTCGTAGGCGTCTACTACACCGGTGGTTCCCTAAATCCCGCGCGCTCCTTTGGCCCCTGTGTGATTACGGGTGTCTTCGACAGAGACCACTGGATCTACTGGGTGGGCCCCGGTGTCGGCGCCATCCTCGCCCTGCTCTTCTACCAGTTCATCAAGATTCTCGAATACGAAGTCGCTAACCCGGGCCAAGATGACGACGGCAGCAGCGATCAGGAAAACATCAAGGACGAATGGGAGAAGAGAGATGGCAGCGTGGACCCTGAGCTGGGCAATGCACAGGGACCGGGCCTTGCCCACAGTGCCAGTACCATGCCGCTCGCGCAGGCTGCCAGTCCCATGCCTATGACGGCTGGTGGTGCGGCGGTTCCGGCTGCACCGGGAAGCGTAATGAACCCTGGTGTAGCAAGGAGTGCAAGCAAACTCAGCGCCGATGGTCGCAAGAGCGAGAGGAGTATTTGATAATGATGACGATGATGGCTGATGACGATGTTCACGAGGGTCGTACAGTTACCGGTTTTGAGGTATACTGATACATGACATGATGAGTCCGACGTATCTGGAGCTCAAGAACGATTGTAAATGAGACTTGAGATGAGGAAAAGACATGGTTTGCGACGAATGGATTTAACGCGGTACATAGCGATGGAGATAATTTTACCAACGACACCCACACACTGGACAACCACGACGATACTTATATAGCCATGAAAAATGAGACAATGAAATTGCATTCCCCATAATCTTTCCTTTTCCCAAAAAGCAATCGTCGAAACGCGTAACTATCCCTCCCCATCCCAAAACACCCACCCTTTTGCTTTTTCTCACCACTCTCTTTTCTTCCCTCACTCAGCCCAACCTTCCCAAGCTCCAGTCCGTTTCCCAGCCTCCACCCCCCACCAAACCACCCCGTTGCATCACTTGACAAGGTCCTCCCTCGCTCCATATGCACACCCATCTCACCGCGCGTGCCGCTTTATGAAACAACGCCGTTTTTTTCCTTCCCAAACCCCGCCCGCTTGGCCCGCCTCACTTTTTTTCGCAACATGCCCAAAAAAAGGCGGCCTCGCTGATCATTTTTTCCACTGGGGTGGGGAGATTACGTGTCGGCGGGGAAGTTAGATAAAAATTAAGAGTGTATGACGACATTTTATCTTAGGGATGGGTTGATGAGAGAAGAGGGTTTCTTGATCTGCGGGATGTGAGAGTTGCGTGCTGTGTGCTGTGTGGGGGGGTTGGAGAGGGAGATGATTGCACGGTTGCGAGAAGGGAAGATAAAGTTTTGAAAAGAGAAGAAGGATTATATGCTTAGTATTGCTCTCAGTTTTAAACTTTTGCCGATTGCGTAGACTAAACCCGTGTGATGCTTGTGTATGTGGATGAGTGGATGTGAGTGTATGTGTACAGACGTATTATACGTTTGATACAAAAGAAAAAAAACCAACGACGAACGATGATGCTTATGCTTCGCGAAGATAAAGATAGATGAAAATGCAAATGCCAAAGTAAAGCGAGAACGCTCAAATTATTGCTTGATGCGAAATCAAGGGAAAAAGTAGAATGCAGGGTTTTGAAGCAGGACGAAATGGAAGAAAAAAAATGGGACATCAGACTCGCTATTTTTGAAACAAGCACCACCAAGCAAACGATAACAAGAGAAAGATTTAGAAAAATGCAAAATGAACAGATAAAACCATATTTTTTTTTCTTTCTTTCAAACATGTTTACGGTCTACTAAAATTTGCAACCGCAGGCAACTCGCCGCCTCTGATTTCACTCATGGCGTAGCCAGGCCGCCACGCAGGATGTATTTCACTATATCCTGTGTGGCTATCGCGGTTACTGGTGACGGTAGACCGCGGCGCAGCCTCAACCACGTAACTGATTCCGTCTTCGGAGACGTACGAGGGGGGTCGGGGTCCCTCTGCTACCGCGGATGGGGCGCGCGAAGCCGTGGGTAGCGGGGGGATTTGCTCGGCCACGGAGCCCACGCGCGATGGCATTTGCGAGGACATTGCACTGCCGCGCTCGCTGAGGGCGTCGACGCGCTGCCAGTGGATGAGATTTGGGTCTACACGAACACTGCTGCGCCAGAGGCCGTAGGCGGGTGGGGGTGGGGGCGGCATGTTCTTCTCTGGGTCATCGATGTCCATGTCATTTTCCAGGGCGTCGTTTTCTAGCGCGGCTTCCTCGTCGCGGCGGAGGTGGACGCGGATTGGGATGATGGGTTGGAAGCCCTCCGGGCCGAGCATGTTAGGGATGAATTGTCTCTCTTCGCTCGGCGGGTTCAGCATGAGCATGCAGAGGCGGATGAGGGAGTGACAGAAGAAGATGGTCACGGTGAGAAGCACCATGATGAAGAGGATGTGGATTTCTTGGCCGAGGTCTTTGTTGGTTAGGGCCAATGCCAGATCTGCGCTCGAAGGTTAGTCTGACGTGTGTCAAGCAAAGTGTCATAAAGCTTACAGATGGATAGAATGACGATCAGAAAGGTTCCGGATATCACAGCAGCCACCATCTTCCGTCGCGCAGCCGATCCCCTGACATAGATTCCAGTGGACTCTCGCTCATCTCTTCGTCGCACCCACTGTTCACGTCGATCCGCACGACGATTCGTTCTCCTTCGGTGCTTGCGCCGCCTATGCCGCCTTCCATTGGCCTCGTCTGCAGGTTGCTGAATTGCTGGATCTACTGGACCGTCGTGGTCAGATGGTAATTGTACATCCGCTGGGTGACGCGAGTATACTGTTTCTGGTTCTTGAGGATCCTGAATGGCGCCAATATATGAGCCTGCGGTATGATGTGAAAGAGGTGCCCTCGAGTCACGTGAGTCGCGGGGCTCATCATCTGAGACATGTTGTGTATTTGGATCGGGCGATTGCTGGCGGCTCCAGAATCCGCGAAATGGTACTTTTGGTGTTGTCTCGTTGTGGTTGTTGGTGTTGGTGAGAGCTGGCGACTGTGAATAGACTGACGAGCCATTGACCAATGTTCGCACATTGCTGCGAAAGGCGCCGAATCGAGATGGCGATGAGGTTGCCGGAGAAGCCTCGATGTCCTGGTCCTGGTCTGGTCGTGGCGACCAAGCGAAGAGTGGTGACCGAAACATGGTGTTCTGTATATAGCTTCTAAGATTGACAAGGCTCAGGAACTAGGAAATACGGACCCCAAGTTCTATCTTGAGCACTCGCTGTTCCCTTATAGCACAAGGCGTGGCCTGGGTTCGGCACGCTTGCTGTTGGTCCCCCTTCCAAGATGTCTCAACGGATGAACGAGCGAACGGTATGGCTAGGCCAACATGTGGGCCTCGTGGTGTGGGTGTAACAGGATGGAAAGTGTGGAGTAGTGTCCAGATGAGTGGATGACTGTGTTGCTCGGAGTCGTCTTGTAATGTCCGGCGCGCGAACTGTTGGCTATACCTTTCCACGCCTACCAAGATCGAAACAAGCCCAGGAACCCCCGATGGAAAAGTATTATCGTATTGGATAAAGGGTGAAATGGCGAGCAGGCTATCCAGAGCCAGCTGAGCCAAGCAAATGCAAAAGAACAGAAAGAAGCGAAACAGGCAGAGCGCAGCACCGCTGCCAACTACCAACGACTGAAAGAAAAGGACGATAGAGCCATCATAGTTGAGGAGGAAGAGTTGCTGTCGCACTAGGACACGGGTAAGGACAGCAACGAGAGCCACGGTCGAGAAAGCATTGAGCGCTATGCGTATTCGCGACGAGTCGCGTGTCAGAGTGCGATGAGAGCGACGATGAAACGCGGCTGGGCTGGAGCAGCGATCCTACGTGTAGCACAGACCGCGTTCGTCGACATGGGCATTCTGCTTTGGAGCCACCCGGGCGTGTGGTGGATGACAGCAATAGCGCAGCTCAGGGAAAGACCTGGGGAAGCCGGGCCTTGATTGGCTGTCGGAAAAAGAGCCTGAAACACCCATCCCAATCAAGGTCTACGCAACCACCAGGCCCTGCTTTTAGCAACGCGGCTGTAAGGCGGCAGCAGATTGTCGTGCGCTTAGCACAATATGATAAAGGCATGAAGGCGCGCGCTATAGCAAATTTCGTCGGGTTGATTGTTCGCTAGACTGCTGTTGACGGCTGGTTGCACTGCTACGCCAACTCTCTCTCCTCGACGTATCCTCTCAATCACCATACTCGTCGGTTTCGCCGCATCGTCGACCATTGTGCGTACATGCGACTCCCAAACCCTGTCAACTGTCGCACCGGCGTATCCAGCCCATCCACAAACGTCCGCGTGACGTCTACCTGGGCCGGAAGCTACTGCGGCCTTTCTCCACGCTTCTCGTGCCCATCTCTTCGAGTCAGAACTGTGTAGCCAAGATACCGAAGCTTCACCCTTTCACTTGCCGAGCTCGCCTACCATGACCTTTCGGTCGGAGGAGGCGGAGACCACTAAATATTGCCAAGTCAGCTTGATGCTTCGCAGGAGACAAACAGAGTGACAGAGAGGGTGTGCGGACCGCCCTCCGTCTGGTTCCACCTTCTGGCAGGGTATCCAGACATGCTTAGGAGCCCCAGCCGAGGCATTGGGGCTTATAGGAAATTTAAATGAACTTACAAACGGGTTCGCCAAGAGGGTGGAAACGCACGTCATTGACGGCGCCTCGGTGGCCTGGCAGCTTGTGCAAGAGTTTCCCTGTTCGTGTCTCCCAAACGGCCACGCTCTGATCCCCGCTACCAGCTGCAATCTTTTCGCCCTTGAAGTCCCAGCTTGCCTTCAAGAGGTTGCGCTCTTGGCCAGTAGGGGCTCCATCGTACGTTCGTATGCGTCGGTCAGAGGGAGCAAAGGGTCTTACATCCCATGTCCTAACAGTCGAATCGTGTGCGTTGGATAATAGTGTTTGGTTGTCTGGAGACATTTGGAGTGAAGTCACTGTATCCGTGTGCCCAATCAATGTGTATGTCACTGCCTGTTTCCGCAGATCCCAGACTTTAATGTCGTTGTCAATGCCGCCTGTGAATAGCTCGTTTCCAGCTTCTGCTAGGCATATTGCTGTTATGGGAAAGTCCGTCTGGATAAAGGTTACGGCATCTTTTGTTCTAGTGTCCCAAATCTATTGCCGCAGTTAGATCAGTCTCACAGTAGCCAATCCTGTATGCAACACTTACCCCAATATAGCCGTCGTCGGAACCGCTCACGAGCACCTCTTCGCCGCGCTTGCTCACATCCATACAATTGATAACCTCCTCATGGCCTGGATGTCTTCGTATTCTCTCTCCAGTTTCGACGTCCCAACTTGCTAGGTGCATGTCTGCCGATGCGGAGAAGAGAACTTTGGAATCGCGTGACCAGTGCAAGTCGAGTACTGCCTGCTTGTGACCAGTGAGGATGCCATAGTTTTCGCAAGTGTCGGAGCTACGCCAAAGCACTGTTTACCGTCAATACGAATTTCCCAGACAATCTTGGCCCAAACTCACATATAGAACGGTCCATGGAGCCAGAAGCGATGCACTGTCCGGTCGGATCGAACCGTGCTGCAAACACTTCGCCTGAGTGACCCGTTAATTCCATGACTGGCGACTGCAGTGCGCTGGATCGCGATCCCTACAGCACCTGTCAGCGCATCGCTACCTTCAGCCTTGGTACTCGTGTAGAAAAATCCTCGGTGGTAACGTACCGCTTGTATGAGGGCGCCATTTGCGCTCGACCCGTTGACTACAGCTACTGCAGAGCTTCCTCCCAGGTTGGCATCCGACTTGGTGCGCTTGACCAACTGACTTGTGCCAAAAGCCTCATTGGCGGGTCGCTTCTCTCTAGACATGGCGGAGTATGTGTGGTGATGTAGGTTTCGTGGTGGAGTTTTCGGGTTCGTCGCGTCCAAATTCGCGGTCTGGTAGTAGCTCGTGAACTTTCCTCATAGGCAGATCGGCGCCAAGAGATATACGCTCCACAGCCCGGGCTAGGTACGCTGCTCCGCGTGCCCCCCGACGCCGACGACACGACTCAATCATAGCAACCTCACATACCGCCTTGCCCCGCGTCTATAAAGTTCTTCTCCTCGCCCACCGTGTATATTGTGCGAAAAACCGCCAGAGTGAACCATGTCTTCGTCAACCAAAGCGGCCCGCATGGGCGAGGAGTGAGCTCCACAAGCCTGGCACCTGCTTCACGATGCGCTAATACATGTCAGAGTATGGAAGTAAGCCTTGTATACGAACCTTTACATTTGCTGGCCCTGACTGTGTAAGAACACGAGTCGATAAAGTCAGTGCCGAACTAGTCACGCTCACGTACGGAACCATTGTTGCACAACTATGCAAAGACTACGAATACAATTACCCAGACGTCAACAAGCAACTGGAGCGCATGGGGTATAATATCGGAATACGGTTGATTGAAGACTTCCTCGCAAAGTCGAGTGCGCCTGCTTGCACCAACTTTCGAGAGGTGGCCGAGATGATCTCCAAGGTAGCCCTTGTCAAGTCGCAGATGGATTGATTGTTCAGCAGCTGATATGCAGTACAGGTCGGCTTCAAAATCTTCCTCAATATTACCCCAACCATTACGAACTGGTCGAGCGACAACAAGCAATTCTCCCTCATTTTCGAAGAAAACCCGCTTGCCGATTTTGTCGAGTTACCAGATGATGGGCGCGCGCAGGATGAGTTGTGGTTCTCCAACATATTAGTGGGTGTGCTGCGGGGTGCATTGGAGATGGTACGTCTTCCCAGGACTATAGTCTGCAGCGACGTTGCAGGCAAATGAAGTACTCATTTCTGGACTAGGTACACATGCAAGTCGAGGCGCACTTTGTCAGTGACGTCCTACGAGGTAACGACACCACGGAGATGAGGATATCGCTAGTTCGCTACATTGATGACGAGATGCCACCGGATGATGAGTAGAAGACAAGGAGCAAGGGTGAAAGCGAGAGAGAGGACACATGTTCCAATTGATGTCTTGAGCATGAGGGACAGCGGTTGCTAAACGGGCATGTACAGTGTGGACGACTTCAAGTGAAGTCACTTGACCAGCGAGGCAGCGATGTGCACAGGGCGCCGTTTGCTAGAGAATTGCACACCGCCACCATGGATGTCTTAAAGCCTATGCCAGACGGGCAGGCTGCATTTGGCATGGGATGCGATGCATTGCGACAGATAGAATTGCACGGTTGTAGGCGGTCAGCAAGGCGCATGAGGGCACAATTGCACAATGGCGCAATTGCACTCGCACTCGCACTCGCAGCCGCAACACGATAGATTGGGGAAAGGGGGCCCTCTTTTTGCTCTGCACGTGCGTGAATGTGTGTATTGACGAGTGCGCATCTGCCCATGGTTGAGGAGGGATTGATTGATTGATGGCTGGGCCAGGGCGACTGGGTGCACGAGGCCAACAAGGTATACACTGTGCTGTGTCTCGTCCCGCTCAAGCTGATGGCGCCGTGGGAAGTGTCCAGGTCGCGTTACATGCACATGCCCCACCACGCACCCTCGCAGCCCGTCGGGGCGTGGTGTGTAACGGGGCCTTGTCTTGACGACTGCGACTGCGACCACGACCACGACGACAACGCCAACACAGCAGCCAGCAATGGGGTGAGGCGTGTCGGGGGGCAGCCAATGCAGGGCCAAAAGCAAGCAGCAGAGAGCAGTTTTTGCTGAGGGCGCGCGGGTGGGCAAAGGGGAGGCTGGTGCGAGGCCAAAGTCTAATAATACTCAGTCACGTGGACGTGACTTGGCGCAGCTCAGCGAGCGGCCGCCGCCCTTCCCCTCGATTCCCGGGGCGTCACAAACTTCCCACGACCTGTCCACTGTTCCTCCGAGCCTCTTTGTCGCCCGACGCGCTCCATCACGTAGGCGGATCTTCGGTTGTCGTTGTCGTTGTTGTCGTCGTGATCCCATCTCTTGGCAGCCTCCGTGCAGAGCGCGCCGCTGACATCCCCTCTCAAAGTCCTTCCTTCACGCTAACCCCCAGTCCCATACCGTGCATCAGCCGCCGCCTTTTCCATCGCGACACCACCGTCGCTACCCTTTGTCGGCTGCCCTCCATCCCGCCCGCCCACGTCTTGCGCGCCTACACCCTCGCCGCCGTCCTTTGCAGGCTGAGCAGGTCCCTGGCACGCTGCTCCGGCTCCGGTTCCGGCTCCGATCTCCCGTGGCGACGACATCCCATGCTGTTGTAGTCCGTCCATCCAGCACCGAGGTGCACGACACATATCGCGTCTATTGCTAGCACCGCGCATCCATCGCTAACTCCCCACCCGTCTTCCGCGCCTGCCGCACCCGCCCCCCCACGCATCGTCGCGATGCAGAACCAACAGCAAATGGCGCAGATGGCGGCCATGAATGCGAACAACGGCGCCGTTGATGGCACCCCCATGATGCGCAACATGGCGCAACCCGGCGGCAAGGGCACTGACCCCACCGAGAAGCTCAACACGTACATCTACGACTACTTTCTGCGGAACAAACACCTCAATCTGGCGCGCGCCATGCTTGAATGCGACATGAAGATGGCCACGGAAAAGGCCAGCCCAAACAGCAAGATGAATGGCGCCGACGCGATTGAGCAGATAGACGATCTGCCTCTTCCCTCGCTGCCACCCAACCAGGTCGCGGACAATTCCTTCCTGCTCGACTGGTGGGTCCAATTCTGGGACATTTACACGGCCACCAAGCCGCGCAGCAATGCCTCCAAGAACGCGATTCAATACGTCGGCCACAACCGGGTAGGTGCCAATCTTGTCCCAGCTCATTTACACGTATAGCAGCCCACTAACGGACCCCTCAGAATCTCGGCCAGTTGCAGAATGAGCAGCGAAACCAGCGCATGATGATGAACAACCCTATGAACGCGCAATACCAGATGATGAGAAACGGCGCAATGACCAACGGTAACCAGACCGACCTTAAGCGGGCGGCAGCCATGAATAACAACCGACCGTATGTTTTCCTTTTGCACCACTACCGTGTTATTCAAACACCACCCGCTAACCGCGCAGCAGCACCGGCAACCCCATGGCGGGTATGCAGCAGATGAAGGGCCCCGGCATGATGGCGGCGCAGATGCAGCGAGATGGCTCAAGCATGGATATGAACGGCCAGCGTCCAAACTCGCCCGGATCCAATGAGAATGCCCCATCTCCAAACAAGCGTCCGCGTGTCGATGGTGGTACGTCCATTTGTCAAGACCCTGATCCAATATGTCAACTAACGTACAATGCCATACAGGTGGTATGAACGCTGGTAACATGCCCAACAACCAGTTCAATGAGTTCATGCCGCAAGGCCCAGGTGCGCAGCAGAAGAACATCGAGGTATATGCCCAAAGCCTGGCCCATCAACACAGAGTGGCAATGAGTAACACGTCGTCCCCCCAGGGTATGAACTCTGGCGTCCAAGGCTCTCCAATGGCCCAGCCCGGCCTTGAAGGGCAAGAAAACCTCTTTACTGGCAACGGGCCACGACCTGGCAATATGCCCACCAACCCTCCAGGTGCACCTCAGCAAGGCAACCACGCCCTGCAAGACTACCAGATGCAGCTTATGCTTCTCGAACAACAGAACAAGAAGCGATTACTCATGGCACGACAGGAACAGGACAACCAGTCCGGTCACCCACAGCAAGGTGTCATGGGCGCCCCAGGTTTTGGGGCAGCCATGTCACCACAAGGTAGCAGAGCTGGCGGTCCTTCGCCTAATCCCGCCGACCAGATGAAGCGGGGTACGCCCAAGTTGGGTCAGCAGAATCTCCCCGGCTCCCCCATGCCAGAAGGCATCATGGGACAGCAGCGCGCATCTCCCGCACCGAACATGAACTTTGACCCTAGCCTGGCACCCCCGGGAATGCCCCCGCAGTTCTACTCTCAGGGAATGCCTCAGAACGGCCCAATGGGCATGCGCCCCCCGAGCTCACATCCGCAGCCACCCAACTTTGGTGGTCAACAGATAACGCCTGCACAGATGGAGGCTATGCGTAACGGGCAGATGCAACAGAATGGCTGGCGCGGTGGACCTCAGCCTGGCATGATGCCCGGCGGTCAGCAAATGGGAGGACCCATGGGCCAGAACCCACAGCAGCGCCAGCAAATGCCACCACCCCCAGCACCTACGAACGAACAACCACGACCTGAGCCCTCTCCGTCACAGTCTAACCCAAACCCACCGACCCCATCTCAAACCAACAAGGCCAATCCTAAGAAGAAGCCTACCAAGGACAATAAGGTAAAGTTTCTAGTTTCCGTTCCACCCTGAGCAACATTGATGTTGATTGTAGAAGCCCGCAAACAAGAAAGGGGCGAATACAGGTGCGACTCCAGCAGCAACAAATGGCGAAGAGCCTCCTACTCCAACGTCTTCCACTCCCGTGGCCCCGATTACGCCAGTCCACAAGCAGTCTTTCAACCAGGGACAAAATGGTCAGCCACAGCAGCCTGTGCAACCACCAGCGCCCGCCGACCAGCCCATGGACAACGGAGGTGGTCAGCCATTTGGCAGCATTGATCCTGATGTACGGTTACTGTCTTGATGTTATTCATGGTATATTTGCTAACACCCCAATAGCCTAACAGTTTTGACCTTGGCCTCAACTTCCCCGACGACGGCGGCGCGCTCGAGACATTTGACTTTGATTCATTTTTGCACACTGGTGACAACGACGGTCTCGGCAACTTTGGCGACTTTGACTTCGCCGGTGCAACAGAAGTATAGCGCAAGCCGAAAGCCTGTTGGTTTATTGAAGACCAAGCATGATGGTTACAGCGGCGGTGGGCAGTGGCGGTAGTTGGCAGGCTGTGTGGTTGGTGGCATTTGAAACCCAAAAATCGTTTCCATATACCCGTGTCGTTATCGACCGTCTCGATCGCTTTTTATCTCTTATCCGGAGCATAACGGAGCAGGCTTGGGGTTTTTTGGAAACTTCGGTTGGCCTCTGTGTTTTGTTTTGTTTCACACCCTCTTTTAGGGGGGGTGGTGTTAGTTGTTGGGTGCCGGGTGGGTTGGGGGGTGCAAGGGTATCTTAGTGGGCGTTTTTTTCTTCATTTTCTTTGGTTGTTCTTATTATGTATGTGTGTGTTGTGTTTTCAACCTCCCCCCCCCTTATTTGAACCCGAGTGGACGCTACGTTTTTCCTTACTATCTTATCTTTTTTCGTTTTTTGCTCTCAATTGCAAAATTTCAGGATTTTTTTTTGGATTTGGATTCCCGATTCTCCTACTCCTACTCCTACTCCCTACTACTCCCCTATCTACTACACCTACCTACTACGTATCTTGCGAAGATCTACATATCTTTTACTCTCTCTCCTAAACACACGTTCATCGCTACCAATATTCCAAACATCAAGCCAGCAAAAAAAACTCCTTGCCCATACGCACTCTCTCGCTCTCTCTCTCTCTCCCTTTTTTCTCTTCCCTGACCTTTTGTGCCCCTGCCCTGCCCTGCCCGCATCTTTTGCACTTCCCACTTCCCACCTCCCCTTACACTCTTTTTTTGCAGCTTCCCCCTTTTATCTCTCACTCACCTCACCATCGCTGAATTTCCTATTCACTTGACCCATTTGTTTTTGTTTCACGCACACCAGAGGAGAAGGAAGAAGGGATGAGGGATTTGATAAAGGAGTTGCTGCTAGTAGAGGGTGAAGATGGAAGACGGGTAAGACGATGGATAAGAAGAAGACGTTTGGAAAGATGTGGGGGTGTTGGTCTGTACTTGGTTCTTTTTGTCGTTTGCGGGGGGGGGGGGGGTTGACACTTTTTTTTGGTTTATCGAGTTCGTTTGAGGGGTATGGTTGGCGTGTTTTTTTGTCGTTCTGGGTGCTAGGAGAGGAGGAAGGCGGAGTGGTAACATGATGCGGGGTGAAGAGTGGACGAGTGAGGAGGAGAGTGTGGAAATGACTTAATGCCTGATTAAAATCTCATTCTTTTATTTATTTTTTCCCTTGAATGTGATGGCTTAAGAGGTGTGTGTGTGATGTTGAAGTAACACAAAGTGCTGTCAATGACAGTGACATATGACTATATATCTTTGTGCTTCTTGAGTAAGGGATTGCTTGGTTTACTTGTCTTCATATGCCTCTTCATCCCATGAACATCCCCCAACCTCACTGTCATTTTTTCATTCGCCATCACATTCCCAACATTTATCCTATCTTCGTGCTCCCCATGTCCATCCCAGCCTACCTTAACGAACAAGATATCCCCCATGTATGGAATCTCCCCATGAATCTCAACTGCACCCTACACTCCCCCCCCCCCTCTATCTCACTACGCCGCAGGTATATCTAGTGCCTCACTCGCCCCTTCCTTCCATCTCACTAGGCCAGAAACGCGTTGTACACAACAACATGACATGAATCCAGAATCATACATGAACACATAGACCCAAGCGTGCAAGGGACACAGCGTGTTACTTGTATATCAACGTCATGGTACTGTAAACGCTAATAAGAAGGATGTGCAGCTTCTGACTTTGAAGACTGGGGCGAAATACTCGGAGTGCACTAGAACTACAAACTGCGTATAAGGTAGGAACTTTGTACAAACACCACATCGACTCTACTTCCTCCTCGAAGAAAGACGGAATATAAGGAGCAAAGAATAAAATAGCCATGTACCTTGACGTTAACTAAACGATTCATCATTATGACATTATCCGAGATATACAAAAGAAAAAAAACCCCCCCCATCCCAGTCATCTCAATCATAAAACCCTAGAATCTTATTCGCTCGGTCAAGTATTACCTTCTCACCGGGAGCCAATCCAGGCTCCTCGCTATCCCATTCCAGCAACCCCATAGCACGACACCCTTCCTCTCCAACAAGCTGCTGCATCTCATCTGGAAGCACGCGACCTACATGTTTTGACTCGCCAATGCCGCTACCGAAATCTGGGCTCGGGGTGCCGTTGACGAAGTTGTTGCGCTGGCGAACGAGGTGGTTTGCGTTATCTTCTGTCATGGGACAAGCAGGGATGTAAAGGACGCTGGAATCCGAAGCGCCTTGATGTTTCTTGTCGACACTGTGGATGGTATCGCAGTGCCAGGCGACGAAGTCACCGGGCCGGACAGTCGGGACGTGAATCATTGTTTTCTGCAGCTGCAGATGCGGGTGGAGTAGTTCTGAGAGTTCTTGGCCGTGGCCGGGTGTTGCGCCGTGGATCCAGGATGTTTGAGGTGAGTCCATTTCCCAGTTGTCTGGGGATAGGAAAGCAGCGGTGTTGGTGGTTGCTTCGGATGCGGTTTGCGCGCCTGGTTCGACGCCGCGTTTGGGGGAGAAGAAGGGGCGGAGCATATAGTATGCTGTTGCTTTTGCGAAAAGCGGGTTTACGAGAAGCGTGCCTTCAAGTGGGCGGGTTGTGGAGAGCGAGAGCCAGCCTTGGAACATGCGGAAAGCGGTGCATGCTCCGACACCCTGATGGAGATCTGGGACAATAGGCAAACGGCAGCTGGCCTCCCAAGGATCAAACTCTTCCCATTTGCCCTTCCAAATCGAGTCGTACACTTTTCCAAGTCCGTATCCTTGTTCGTCCCAGCGCTCGACGCTGCCGCCGTCAACGTGGGGTCCAATTGAAAATCTGGCGTCACCGGGTTGACGGAGGCGCAGACGGTCGGCATAGCTTATCGGGTGCTTTGTAGACAGTGGTATATGTGGATTACTGCTGTGCCAATACGACATGAGGAAGCGGTGCGCCTTAAGGAGATTAGGGTTTCCGCGTGCGAGGAGCTGAGGGCGCGACCAGTAGAGCTCAAATACTTGAGGGTTGTCGGCAGGAAAAGCTAGCCAATTGTCAGTGGTAATAGGGGCATAGAATATCTCAAGAACCCACCCTTTGTCTGAGGATTTTGCCGGATATATTCTCTGAGATCCTCCTTCCACTGCAGTGCTTCTTGTTCCGACACTACGCCCCGCACAACAGCGACACCTCTCTCTCGCAGCTGACTACTGAAGACTTCAGACGCATTGTCGATATCCTTGAAATCGATTTCCGGAATGACTTTGCTGCCTTGCTCAACAATGCGCGGAATCTCGTCGCGCAGGTTGCGAAGAAGGCGGTGCCATGAATCCCGAACTTCACTTTCGTGACCCCGAATCAGACGGGCTTTGAGGTCGGCATATTCAGGTGTCAATGGCTTGAAGTCGTGTCCCGAAAGTGAGGCAAAGGCATCCGAGATGTCGCCCGCGCGCCTCTGGGGTTGCGTCGCGACTGTGCGCACCTGTGTCGCAGCGCGTGTCGTCGGAGATCGGATGGTTCGCAGCGCAGATAGCATCATCGTGAGCCGTTTGGTACTTCTATGCGATTGATTCAACACTGCGATACTGCCTCTGTTTCTTTCCCCAGCAATCGCTCATTATATACGCTTTGATGCGCTGTCGTAGCACGTAACACAAGTGAGATTCCGACATTGAATGGTTACCTAGGCCGTGAGCGCGAGATACTGTACCTGCGGAAGTTCTGCTCAAAACGGTATAGCCACATCTTCTGCGGTCCTTACAGGCATATCCTCGTATCGGTTACCACGTGTAGAGCATCGTTTCCGACGTTCTCCATCACGCAACGTCATCAACTCCGGTGTTCGCGAATGAGCAGAGGCGGAACACGCTCATCGGTGTTATATCCTGGGGTAGAGGGCGGGTGATACGAGGAGAGAGTGAGGGAAAGAGATCCGCCTGGAGCTGCCCAGTACCCCGCCATGCCACATTCTCAAACATCACTTACTTCCAAGTCACGTCGCTGCGCCACTTGTGGTAGGATAATAGGCAGGCTGAATGTCCGGCCCGCAATCCCACTGACCGCCCTAGCCACTGTAAATCCTAACGGGCAGAATGGACGCAAAGGTACAACTTCGTCATGTGGGATGAAGCTATAACCTCCCGTCGGTGAGCCGGGCAAGCGGGGTCGCTGGACTGAATGAGCCATTGAGAAGACGGAGAAATTGAATATAGCCTACCAGAGTGGAACAAGACCATACCAAGATCCTCATCTGTCCTACTGCGCCTCTTGTTAAGCTCTTGTCCTTGGATGAATGACGGTTACCGCGGGACGTCCTCCGCAGCCAACGCTGCAGTCCGGTCCCACGTATATGAAGAAGTAATAGCCGTCCCGCTGCTACGAGCTTGAGAACTTTGTCATCTCTTCTTTTCCTTTTTCTCCCCTTAGACCAGTCAGCATAGAACACACTTGAAGAGATTAGACATACCGCAGCTCATCATGTCGCAATCATACTTTCCAAAGGATTTCCTTTGGGGGTTTGCAACAGCGAGGTTCGTTTAGCCAGGCCTTTCTCCACTCAAAAGTACCCCGCCAACAAGGAAGGGCCACTTGATTGTCACATGCTGAGTTTTGGAATCTGCAGTTACCAAATCGAAGGCGCACCGCATGAAGACGGTCGTGCCGATTCCATCTGGGACTCGTTTTGCCGCATCCCGGGCAAGATTGCTGGAGGAGATTCGGGCGATGTGGCCTGTGATTCCTACCACCGTGCTGACGAGGACATTGCACTGTTGAAGGAACTTGGCGCAAAGTCTTACCGCTTTTCCCTCTCATGGTCCCGCATCATTCCGCTCGGTGGACGCAATGACCCGGTAAACGAAAAGGGTCTGCAATACTACATCAAGCTGGTCGATGGGCTCCGTGCTGCCGGCATCGAGCCCATGATAACCCTGTTTCATTGGGATTTGCCCGATGAGCTACACAAGCGATATGGGGGCATGCTAAACAAGGACGAATTCGTCAAGGACTATGAGAACTATGCCAGGGTGTGTTTCAAAGCATTTGGGTCAAAAGTGAAATATTGGATCACCTTCAACGAGCCATGGTGCAGCTCGGTACTTGGCTATGGCACTGGGCTGTTTGCTCCCGGTCGTTGCAGCGATCGAACCAAGAGCGCTGAAGGAGACAGCGCGAGGGAGCCATGGATCGTCGGACACTCCCTCCTCATTGCTCATGGTGCGGCAGTCAAGGCCTACCGTGACGACTTTAAGGCGCAGGATGGAGGCCAGATTGGGATTACTCTGAATGGTAAGCGATCACCTCGCGTCCAGATTCTATGTGGACAGAAACAGAAACTCTACTCGCGTGCACGCACGTAGTCCGCGCATGCATGTACGCGGTAGTGGGGAAATCATGTCAGAATGGGTCTTGAGAGACGCTGCATGAATATATTGGTATGCTGATACATGTCCGTATAGGGGATTGGACGGAGCCGTGGGATTCCGAAGATCCAAAGGACCGCGAAGCGTGCGACCGGAAGATTGAGTTTGCCATTTGCTGGTTTGGAGACCCAGTCTACTTTGGCAAGTACCCAGACTCGATGCGTAAGCAATTGGGCGATCGACTGCCTGAATTCACGCCGGAGGAAGCGGCCCTGGTCAAAGGAAGCAACGATTTCTATGGCATGAATCATTACTGTGCCCATTATATTAGGCACCGGGATACTGAGCCGGAGCTGGATGACCACGTCGGAAACCTTGATATTCTGCATCAGAACAAGAAAGGCGAATGGATTGGCCCAGAGACACAATCTGTGTGGCTACGGCCAATGCCGTTGGGCTTCAGGAAACTGATCAAGTGGCTTAGTGACCGATACGAAGGCCCAACATTCTATGTGACAGAAAACGGCACCAGTCTCAAGGGCGAGAATGATCTGCCTCTGGAGCAGCTGCTCGACGATGAGTTTCGGTGTGAATACTTTAGGGGTTATATTGGTGCGTTGGCCGATGCCCATACCTTGGATGGGGTAGACGTCAGGGGTTACTCTGCATGGAGTCTGATGGAGTACGTTGATCCACTTATTCATACCCCCCCTTCCTTCTTGTTTCTTTTTGCTGCGCGTATACTATTCCTACATCTGGACGACCCGCTTTTCGACGGGGGTATGGGCTGCAAGCGGATGACCGGAGGAGCTCTGGCAGACGGAACCTTTTCTCCTAGCTTCAAACTGAACCAAACCTGGTGTTCGGCGAGCTGGAAGCAATAAGATTACAAGTATGTATGCTGACATGAGTTTTTTTGTAGCAATTTCGAGTGGGCCGAGGGCTATACGACGCGTTTCGGCGTGACCTATGTCGACTACAAGGGAGGACAGAAGCGATACCCTAAGAAGAGTGCGCGCGAGATCTCGAAAATCTTTGACAAGTACATCAAAAAGGAGTAGTAGGCGGCGGCGGCAGTGGCGTGCTTCAGTGTGGTCGGCTAGAAACGCCATCGAATCATATACTAGAAGCTGAAGTGCATTAGGCGCTTCTAGCACGTTTCTAGCGTTAGAGGTGTTTGTTTTTTGTTTTTTTCTCACTCTGCCATGGCAGATATGGACTGATTTCCCAGTGGCTTTTTGCCTTATCCACATTGATACCACGTGCGGCGAGCTGAAAGACGCGCTGATTTTTTTTCTACTCCGTGAAGCCCTATGGAGCCCCGTGTGGATACAAGTGTTGCTCTCAACGTCATTTAGACCCGGAGCATGGCGCCATGTTAGGGTAGTGTTAGTAGCGGTTCTCCCGTTGATTATGGTGCGGTGTGGTCGCAATGTTGAATCCGACGTTGAGCAAACACCTGGTTGACTGCAGCCCAAGTGATACTGGGCCAGTAATGGAAAGGACAGATGCAGGCAGCTGAAAGGGTGGAAGGCAAGCGAATGTGTACTACACCCAGACGTGCATGGCTAGGTATGCCCCTGCCCTCTCACACCCCTTGATGCAGGGTTTGAGACGCCACCAGGGACAGAATCAGCGTGTGAGTACAACGTACCCCGCAATTACGTCGGTGATGCATGATGTTTATTGTTGATTCAAGTGCAGAGTGCTGACAAGACATGGGGTGCAGCTGGGGGGGCAGAGGTGGGCAGGTGGATGTCTCGTGTGTGTGGACAGGGCTGTGTGGGTGGTGGAAGGGTGCGGGAGTGGGAGAGAGGGGAATGAGCGGTGGGCGGTGGGCATTGAAAGCGAAAGAGAAATCTAATTGCCAGACGGGCGGCGGACTCTTGCGCTGCAGAGGAACCATGGTTGCGCCATTGTAGAGTAACCTTCTAGCCTGCAAGCTAGAAGGTTCGGAGAGAGCTGATGGCGCAAGCTTTGTGTCTTGGCGTGAGGTGTCGGTAAGCGTGATCGGTAAGGGAAGGAGCGGAGGGACGGCATTAGCGAGGGGGAGAGAGGGGCAGCGGGCGGAGGGCGGTGGGCGGAGGGCAGTCAGTGGATGGGAAGGAACCAGCCAACCAGCACCAGCACCAGCACCAGCATCAGCAGCGGTGCAGCGATGCAGCGGTGGGAGAGGCCACAGGTGGGACACATGCACACACACACACACACACACACACACACACACACACACACACACACGCACCACCACTACCAACTCCGTCGTCGGGCACGCCAGGATGCCAGGATGCCAGGATGCGGGCCCCGCAGAAGTCTAAATTCTACAAGCCTGTTTCAGAGAGGGAGAGCCTCGTGGGCGACCCCCAAGTCAGGGCCACTAGACACTGCAAGGCCGCCATAGCCCGTGAATTGAGTTCGTGTCTAGCAGCCGTCGTTCTTGCGTAGTACGTAGTGGGCGTCTGCACCTGGCTCCTGGCTCCTGGCTGAAAATCGGCTCAACTCCGGCATCGGGGCGGAAACAGGCGTCCAGAGTTTGGTAGCGAGACTTGGGGCGGCGCGAGGGGGGACAAGTTGACCCTTTTGGGGTGTTCGGCGGCGTGCATTACACTTTTGGATCGACAGACCATGTTTACATTCCCATTCTGCAACCAAGCTGAGCGCGCTGGTCCGCCCAGGCAATGCAAGTCTGGTTGCGCAATCGCCGACGGGACAGTGTGTCGTACCTCGCATTGGACATGGATGGCTGGACTTGACCCTGCCATGTAAGTAATACTACGCAGCCATGTATTTTACCTCCTTACGTACTTGGTTGCGTATCGAATGTTAATGTATGTAAGACGGGACTTGGACCTACCACCATCCACAGCCCGCCCATCTGCCTGCCTGCCTGCCTGCCTTGGAGGCGTCGCGGTGATGTGCCGCCATCACACGTCCCGACAGTTAGTATAGTCGTGGGTTCCTGGCCCAGTCGCAGCAGCTAGAGGCGACCGGAGGCAACCAGACGGGCGAGCGAGGGTGAGATGATGGGTAGTAGTCGTACCAAACTACTCCCATAGATCTGCCGCGCCGGGCCACGGGAGCCTGCACGGATGTGTGTGTATGTAATAATTACCCTACCCGTACATGCATTCTTACGTCTAGCATGCATATACAGACAGACGACCGCCTCTGCCACAACGGGGGCTGCTCCAACTGCAAAGTGGGCGTGACCCAATCATGGGACTGACTGATAGCTGACTGATTGATTGATTGCCCGGCTGGCGGTTTGACGACTGACTGGTGGGCTCCCCTTGGCCTGCCGTGGCTGCCGTCGTGATGCACGTTCGGGCAGTTGGAGGTGGTTTCAGCGACAGCTTCGGTGTCAACGGCAGTGGGCGTGGCTTCTCCGCGGCGCGCACCAAGGGCCCTGCATCTGTTCTGGGTAAGGAAAAATGGTTCCATATTGCATGATTCCTGCCGCCACGGCGTATTGACGCACTAAACGCAACAGAGGCGAAAACAGCAATCGAACGGCGAGCATGAGCAGAGGCAATGAAGCTAACTGCGGTGACTGCCGGGCAAACGTGCACGCTCCACGCCCTACTACCCTCTACGCCGCCGCCGCCGTCGCCGCTGCTGCTGCTAGGCAAATTGCAAATGAAGGGCTTTGCTCGACAAAACAAGACGTTCCCGTCTCAGATAGAAGGCAATGGTCCTCTTGATGTCAAATAACGCTCCTACTAGGCTCAATTAGATGGCAGCTGCAGCTTGGTGCGGCGCTGTCCCTTCCCTTTCTTGCCCCCCACTCTCGCCCCTCCACACTACCCGCCCGTCGGCCTATCCACGCATGCGCACATACTCACTACACACACAAACACGCGCATTGCACGCACATCCAACATCCACAAGCCACACACATGTGCATCTTGCCAACACCACGCGCTGCTGCGCTCATATCCATCATACCGTCGCTGCGCGCCTCGTCGCGTGCCCCGCCGGCCAATTCTCTGCTCGCGGCTCGCGGCTGGCGGCTTCTAAGCCTAGCGCAGCCGACGTGCATCATCATTTTCCATCACTCGAGAAACTTACCGACAGTCGCTATCGTCCAATATCGGCGCCAAGCTCATCTCGAGTGGCTGGGACAGATGTCCAGGTACCAGCGCTAGCCGTCCCCATCTGGTTACTAGCCACATAGCCTCACCCTGTGCAGCTGTGTCGTCTATAGAGCGGTGAGGGGCGTCTCGGAGGATTCTTGCTTTATCGAATAACGGGGGGGGAGGCCATGGATAGCGCACTGCTTTGGCTATCGTTGAGGTGCCCTCACTGCACATCACTGTGTGCGCTGCCCCAAAATGACGGCATAAGCTTGGGCGGATCATCACTGGATTGGTACTCGTGACCTGAGGAAGAATCCTTGTTGCGGTGAAGGATAAAAGTAGGGAAAAACAAAAGAGCGAGAGTGAGAAAAAAAGAGGGACGGTTAAGCATCAGCCACAAGTCTTCCGAACATGGCCACTTTAACCATGTCGACATACAAGGGCCCTGACGAGGAGCGCATCACGGACGCTGTCCGCCTCCATCCCTCTCGCTGCATCTGTGTATCCCTCTCCGTCTTGTTCTACTAGGGCCCATGCGTCTCCCTACATAGAGCCCCGGCATTGAAAGCCCTGCGAATGACTGACGGATCCGTCACGAAATCGTCCCACCCTGCAGCACACCCGATTTAGACAGAGCAGCTGTTTAGCAGTCATCATGCATGGCCAGCACACGGCATGAAACACAGCTGGATGGCGATGAGGCCACGATAAAGTTTGCGAGTGGAGGGGGTGGGAGTGAGGGGGGAAGGAAGACGCACGCCCCCCCCCCCCCCCCGCCCAAATCCTACAGCAACAACAGGTGGTAGCCAGCACACAGGATTAGCAGCAGCAGTAGTGGCAGCCGTAGCAGTTCGGCAAAGGTGCTCGAATGCGAGATGTCACTGCAGGCAGACATGGCCCGTGGAGGTACTTCGGAAGCATCCTGGGCCAGCGCGCTTCGTGCCCTCTGCGGAGCAGGAGGAGGGACGGTCTAGCAGAAAGGCCCTGACCCCGGGCATGATCGACGCGACGACGAGGGCGGGCAAGGTTCAGGCTCCCCCTACAGGTCATTCTGGCGGGCAGGGCCTGTGTACCAGGTCTACTACCAGCCTGCCTGTCTGCTTGCCTGCTCCTGGGTGCTGATGCTGCCCTGGGAGATCCACAGCGGGCCCCCCTTCGAGGGTGCGCGCAATTGCGAGACGCTCGACACCCTCTACTCTGCATCCATGGGTCTTTGACCGGCGCTCCGACTCTGAAGCAGCCAGCGACAGGGTATCAGGCGGCTTGGCGCTCTCGGGCTAATTTTTCTGCATGCAGGGCTTCCACGTGCGCGTCTTCTCCTGGCCGTCCTGGCCGGGCGGTGGCACCCTTGCATCCTGGTATCGCTTCACGTCGCCGCCGCAGGAGCCCACGCCATGCGCTCTTCAAACGTCACAATTTGTCCGTGTCTGGTCTGTCATCCCAAACCTCGCTACGGTCCGCAAACACGACCAGCTACCTGACTGGCAAGCGGTCATGGCGACATCACAGCCCTCGCTCTTCCGTCTTATGCGTGCCCATCTGAACCTGTCCTGGTGGGTCCCGTCGTGCTGTTGCTCCTCTGTGCCCACCTCGCATCCGACCCAAGGTAGACCGAGGACGTGTGTCGCGCAGGAACTCGGCCATGCCACCCTTGGTGGGGGTGTGCAATGTCCCGGCCCAAAGCACGTCGTAGCGCTTTTCCAGAACAGCCAGCTGTCGCTATGCACATGCACGTTGGGCGAGGCTTCAATCGCCCAGGTGCCACCACCGTTGAGACTTTATTGACCATGGAGGGCCCTTTGATTGTCCTAAGCGACTGGCCACAAGCTGGGCGCACCGCTATGCCTCGCTCAAGCCTGGAAGTCACTAATGTACGAGCTAAAGTGAAACGATTTCCCCAGAGCCCACGTTGTGTGGCTACCCACCCAGAGCCAGGATCAGCGAGCCAACGCTAGTCTAGGGTGGAAGCATGGTACGCAGAGGCCGCCGCTACTCATCAGGCCCTGATAGCAAGTTATAGGCGCATGCCAGCCATGTCTTGCATCGCTCTCAGTCGTGTCTCTCTACAATTCCGTCTCGCCCATTCGGCCTCGCCGCCTCGTCCTCTTTGCTAAGAAAAAAATTATCCTCTTCTTGACTGGCCTTTATTTTGCCTTCCTCTTAATACACTACCCGGCTCACTCCCTACAACACACTCCTCTTGTCTCCATTGCTTTCCCCCTCTTCTTCGAGACCCGGGAACAGCTCATCACCCACAGCCGGCATAACCTGATATATTCACACAACGCTTGGACCGCGTTTTGTTTGGGACTCCGCTGACACAGCAACCTCGACATCGCATATACTTTCACCGCCTCTCGCGGATCCTCGATGACTTCAATCCTTCACTACCGAGACCCCATCGCCTACAGGAGTGACCACATGAGTACCTCCAGCTACCACTCACCTCACATGGATCAACAGAAGCGATCCCCGCCCTATGAGGGCCACTCGTCTGGCTCAGAGGCCAGGCAACTTACCCCCGGCGCGAAGAAGCGTCCATCGAGAGCTGGAACACGCAGCGTCACGACGCTCACTGCTGCTCAGCTGGAGCGGAAGAGGGCAAACGACCGAGAAGCACAGCGTGCCATTCGCCAGAGAACAAAAGACCACATTGACACTCTCGAGCGCCAAGTTCGTGACCTCACAGCCCAGCTCGAGAACAACTCTTCTACCAAGATGATGGATCTTATCCGAAGAAACGAGGAGCTCGAGCAAGAAAACGGCATGCTACGCGCACGCTTGTCGCATGCAGTCTCTACCCTTGGTGTTCCAGAACAAGGTGCCGGTATGTGACGAACTTTATTTATCCCTTTCTCTTTCTCCTCCCCCCCAAAAGCACTGTCCAGTTGTTCCACCAGTGAAGTGGTCGAGCCGCTTCAGTTGCTTTTTTTGGTGTCTCGGGCCGCAGCCGTTCGAATGCAGCCACCGTCGTTCTCGCAGCATCATCACACATTTCTTTTCCCACTGTCTCAATTCCCATGATTTGGTTGGCCCACTTCGTTTAGCGACATGCAGCATCTGTAACACTTCGCTTCCTTTTGCTGTCCCAAGCGAGACGATAACGCCAACTTCATGTCTGAAATTCAATGTGATGGCAGTGCATATTCACTAACACCAAGCAGGGGCACCCTCGCCCAGCGACCGCGTTCAGATGCTCAGCCAGCCCCGGAGAATGTCAACTGGGACTGCAAGAAGCGCACACTCTGTACCAGAGATTGCGACGCCCGTCTCACAACCAGCACACTGGCAGCCACAGCACACATATGCTCAACATGTCTCCTCACCACATGTCGACACGCCACCAGCCATGGGCGAAGTTCAAGCGCCTCAACACGAGGCTGTTCGCTGGAGCCCTCATCCTGGCCACCCACAGCAACAGCAAACACAGCAGCAACAACCGCAGCAACACCACCAGGTTTCGATGCCAGTGCAGGATCCATCGGTTCATGCAGTCGAGCAGCCGAGCATGTCCTACCCGAGCCCATATGTCATGGAGAGCAACGCCCGGGCCATGTCGTATCCTCTTGAGAACGCCTCCATGGTCACGTCACAACCTATGCCGATGTCGGGATACGGTACGCCCACCTCACATCCTTCTCCGCATACTTCAGAGTACCAGCGACACATGAGTGTCCCGATGCACCATCAATCGGTTCAGGGCCAGGCTCCTGCTCAACATCAGCAGCACCACACTTCGGCACCTTATGGTTCATATGCTGTGGGACCCCAACAAGGCTACCCCCCACAGGTTAGCCATGGCGGCGAAATGCCCATGATGCACGCGCAACATGGCCAATCTCAGATGATGAATGAGCAAGGCCAGCACATCATGTACCAGCCATACCAATCAAACATGAAGGTTGAGCATTGAGGGGTGACCCGGCTCGTCCAAGCATGTTCACAAAAATCCTTTGTGGCTGCAGACCGTTGGCCAAGATGTCGGGTTCGCAATCATTCATAGAGCCTCGAATTCTAAACATCGCCTCAAACAACCGCGCCACATGAAACAACATGTTCTTCACAAACTTGACAGCAAGCTACAACTCACCATGACACGCGGTACCACGCGGCACAGCAACGATAAGCTTGTAGAGTACTTGGCTGCATCTAAAAACGGCACTGCGAAGGGCGGTCCCAAAGCAGTAGCGTTGGCCGACTCCTCGATCTCGTGCCTAACGGCAGAGTGCGATCTTGCGGGAATTGCTAGGGACGACCATGCCACGATCCTGCGGCCTTTGCGCTAGTTCAAGGCAACCTATAGGTTCACGGCATCGTTGCGCACCGTGCAGCTACTCCCAAGCCTGAACTCGGACAATTTCGCATCCGTGTTGGAGTCCCCCCACGATCGCATAAAACACAATGAAACAGCGACACGGCAAGACCCACATTTGGACAATTGGATCAAATCCGCTTTCAACTGCCCACCCGCGCCACCAATGAAACTACAATGGCACGCTATCAGCAGTGTGTGCAGCTAGCGAACGACCCTGTAGAGGCTAGAGTCGACCAGACGGTGAAGAGGTGGATCTGCTGATGGCGTGGAAGCTTCTCAGAAGACGGGAAATGAGCAATGGAACATTCCG